GCCGGGCCGGTTTGGCGGCGGAGCGCGAGCCAAACCCGGCTGCTCCCGTGGGACCTCGAGCGGGCAACGGGCACGGCCGGGACGTTGTGCAAACCGGCCGCGGAGTTGAGAAAACAGCCGCCCTCCCACGCTCCGGTTACTAAATCCGACGACGCCTCGGAAAAAGATTTGCCGGGGGGGTCGGTGATGGGGGGGGGAGGGAACCGGCCGCCTGTGTCTGGACACGGTTGGGGGGGGGCCACATTTGTGGGACATGGGGTGGGAACGGCTCTGCCGGTTTTGGGTATGGCGGTAAAAAGGCATTTATAGAAAAGGTTAAAAAATATGAAGTCAACAGAAGGGGAATAACCTGTTGCAAAACAGCCCCAAAACCTTTTCTTCCCCATGCCGGGGTTTGAGGACGTGCTGCCGGTGTCGGGGGGGGACCACGGGGGGGTCACACCGCAACAAACCCCGATTCAGAGTCCCCGGCCCCGTTGTGTAACACGGACAGATCCTCTTTGTCTCTTTTTTTTTTTTTTTCCCCCTCCCTTTTGAGCCCATTTTTTGTTCCGGCCTCAATCTCCGCCCGGCTTTCCCAGGGCAGCTCCATCTCCTACTGTGCCAGCCGCCCTTTTTTCCAACCCTTTCCTTCGGCTTCCCATCGCCCCATGGATGACCGGCCGGGACAGAGGCCAGCTCTCCTCCCCCCCGTGGCACCTTTATCTCTGACCGCCCCGATGCCAACCCTGTGCCACGTAACCTCTGCCGTGGATTAACCCCCCCGGGGGGGCTCAGGGGATAAGCTGGGTGCTGAGCTACCGGGCACTAAATAGGGTGCACGGCCCCGGGTCAATCCGTCCCCTCTGAAGAGCCACTTTTTTGGGTGAGGAGGGAGCTGGCGGCGGTTCCCCAGGGGATTTGGGGGGGATGCTGGGGAGGGGGGGGAAAAATGGGGTTGGCCCCCCCCCCCGCCTCGCTGCATCCCCGGTGTTGCGATGGAGGCGGCAACTCCGGAGCCGTGGGGGTTTTTGGGTGGGAGTGGGAAGAGCAGGGCAGGGATAAGCGGCAAGCGGTTGGGTGCCTCAGTTTCCCCATATGGGCAGTGGGGAGCCTCAGCTCTCTTTTTGGGGGTCACCAGGGCATTGCCAGGCGGGAGGGGGGGAGAGAAGCACAAGGAGCTCGCCAGCCGCTCAAGTTTGGCAGGCCTTGCCAGGGAAAGGCAGGAAAAATCCGTACCCTTTCCTAAAAGGCTTTGGAGGGCTGAAGCGACGTGTCCAGGCACGCAAGGACAGGCTGGGGCTGGGAAAACCGCGCTGGTGGGGGAGATCCCAGCTTGTGTGTTCTCCACTAGGCCAACATTTTATTTAAATACCCTCCCCAGTCCCGGCTATCCTTACATCCCGCTTTCCCAGTCCATTGCGCCACCGAAAGCCGACGCCACGCAGAGTCCGAACTGCACGCCGGTCCCCATATCGCCCTCGGCAGCGCGCCAAAACACCCCAGCCCAGTAGGGTACCGAGCCCCCCCACCCATATCACACCCACGACCCCACATCATCCACCACCACCTCATCCCGGCGAGCCGCCCCGGCCAGGCAGCGTCCCACCGTCGCCAGCACCTTCCCCAGGCGACGGTCCAGCGCCCGCAGGTGGGGCTCGGTCAGGATGGGTGCCAGGGGGTCGGTGGCCAACGCCTCCCGCAGCAGGTCGCTCAGGCGGTAGGGTTGGGTGGCCAGCAGCTGTAGCCGCAAGTAGGTCGACTTCTTGATGCTGTGGAAGATGAGGAAGGAGAGGTCTCAACGCGGGGAGCCTCTCGCCGGATGGCAGCTCCGGGACAGGCGATGGGAAGCCCTTACCTGCAGCATTGCCAGAGCGGGGCCAGGATGGACGGTTCATCGCGCGAGTGCGTGCCGAAACTGAGGGGGGGGGGAGAAGCCCGCCGGTGGGTGTTGGGGTGGTATCGCCCCACGTGGGGCACGTTTTGACAAGACCCGTGGTCTCCCCCTCGCCCCTTTGCTGGGATCGCTTCCCCCCGCACCCACCCTGCTTTACCCGCGGCCGTTGTCCAGGTGGAGCAGGAAAGTGTTGTTCCCAAATTTCTCGAAGGTCTCGTAGTGGTGCCGGTCCATGTTGCCTGCGGCAGGGCAATAAATTTGCCATCGGGCGGTGGGTCGGGAGGTGGGAGCAGGGACACGGAGCACCCTCCCAGTGCGAGACCAAAACCCAGAAGCTGGGGAAAAGGGCTGGGACCACCTGTAAGGTGCCCATTTGGTGGCCATGGCTGTGGTGGGGGGGACCCGAGCGGAGCCCCTGGGGCCTCCAGGCCCCTTCTCATCCCGGCAGCCCCGTGGAGGGACAACAGCGGCAAGTGGAGCAGAAGTAATGGCAAAGGCACGGCTGGGCGGCCGGGGACGAGGAGATGGGAAGCTCTCCAAGTCAGATATGATGGCGGGGGGGGAACGGACAGCGCGGGGAGGAAGGAGCAGCCCCAGGGACGGGAGAAGTGGCGTGGGTCCTGGGGAGCATCACCGCCGGCCCCAGCTCCCCAGGAGCTGCACATGGGAGCTTGCCGGCAAGCGCTTCCCGTGCCCGGGGTGTTCAGCTGGGATCTCCTCCCTGGCATCTCTCGTCCTTCGGCTTCTGCCTGGGATGCGCCCTAACGGCACTGCCCTTTGCTCTCGTTTTTGGGTAAGAGCTCAGCTCTCTGCAGCTCGAGCAATGGTTTGGCCAACAAACCTGGCAGGGCGCCGTACCGCGGGACACGGAGTCGTTTGGGTTTCCCAGTCCTGAGGGACCCCCCCGCGGCCCCCAGCGCCAGCACGGTGGGGCTCACCCATGAGGAAATCGAGGACCGCCATGTCGATGAGGTCGAGGAGGCGATGGCCCCTGTCGTAAGGCGGCGTCTCTCGCACCTGAGCGCAGTAGTTGGGGTTCAGCTCCCACCTGCGAGCAGAGGTCGGGGTTGG